AAAAGTTTCTCCTACTTTAGCATTCAAGTCCCCTACCACAATTACTCTCTCACTTGGTTCAAAGGCTCCTATACATTCACTTAACATCTCCCAAAATCTCTCTCTCTCCTCTGCATTCCTCTCTTCTCCAGGTGCATACACGCTTATTATGACCCACTTCTCGCATCCAACCTTTACTTTAATCCACATAATTCTTGAATTTACACATTCATATTCTCTTTTCTCCTTCCATAACTGATCATTTAACATTACTGCTACCCCTTCCTTTGCTCTAACTCTCTCAGATACTCCAGATTTAATCCCATTTATTTCCCCCCACTGAAACTCTCCTACCCCCTTCAGCTTTGTTTCGCTTAGGGCCAGGACATCCAACTTCTTTTCATTCATAACATCAGCAATCATCTGTTTCTTGTCATCCGCACTACATCCACGCACATTTAAACCAGCAAATAATAGAGCCTACTAGACTGGAGAATACACTAGACCTCATCTTCACTAACAATGATGATCTGATAAGAAATGTCACCATATCAAAAACAATATACTCAGATCACAACATAATTGAGGTTCAGACATGTATGCGTGGAGCCCCAGACCGACATAATGAGACTAGTCACGAGGGAGCATTCACCAAATTCAACTTCAATAACAAAAACATAAAGTGGGACCAAGTAAACCAAGTCCTAACCGATATAAGCTGGGAAGATATACTAAGCAACACAGACCCCAACGTATGCCTAGAACAGATTAACTTGGTGGCACTCGATGTATGCACAAGGCTTATTCCTCTAAGAAAAAGGAGGAGTAGATGTAAAATAGAAAGAGACAGGCACTCCCTTTACAGGCGACGGAAAAGAATAACAGAGCGGCTAAAAGAGGTCAATATATCTGAAATGCGTAGAGAGACACTGGTCAAAGAAATAGCAAGCATCGAACTTAAGCTAAAGGAATCTTATAGGAGTCAGGAATTGCGGGAAGAACTAAAAGCCATAAATGAAATCGAAAGAAACCCAAAGTATTTCTTCTCCTATGCCAAATCAAAGTCGAGAACAACGTCCAGTATTGGGCCCCTACTTAAACAAGATGGGTCCTACACAGATGACAGCAAGGAAATGAGTGAGCTACTCAAGTCCCAATATGACTCGGTTTTTAGCAAGACGCTAACCAGACTGAGAGTCGAAGATCAAAATGAATTTTTTATGAGAGAGCCACAAAATTTGGTTAACACAAGCCTATCCGATGTTATCCTGACGCCAAATGACTTCGAACAGGCGATAAATGACATGCCCATGCACTCTGCCCCAGGGCCAGACTCGTGGAACTCAGTGTTCATCAAGAACTGCAAGAAGCCCCTATCACGAGCCTTTTCCATCCTATGGAGAGGGAGCATGGACACGGGGGTTGTCCCACAGTTACTAAAAACAACAGACATAGCCCCACTCCACAAAGGGGGCAGTAAAGCAACAGCAAAGAACTACAGACTGATAGCACTAACATCCCATATCATAAAAATCTTTGAAAGGGTCCTAAGAAGCAAGATCACCACCCATCTAGAAACCCATCAGTTACACAACCCAGGGCAACATGGGTTTAGAACAGGTCGCTCCTGTTTGTCTCAACTATTGGATCACTATGACAAGGTCCTAAATACACTAGAAGACAAAAGAATGCAGATGTAATATATACAGACTTTGCAAAAGCCTTCGACAAGTGTGACCATGGCGTAATAGCGCACAAAATGCGTGGTAAAGGAATAACAGGAAAAGTCGGTCGATGGATCTATAATTTCCTCACTAACAGAACACAGAGAGTAGTCGTCAACAGAGTAAAGTCCGAGGCAGCTACGGTGAAAAGCTCTGTTCCACAAGGCACAGTACTCGCTCCCATCTTGTTCCTCATCCTCATATCCGACATAGACAAGGATGTCAGCCACAGCACCTTGTCTTCCTTTGCAGATGACACCCGAATCTGCATGACAGTGTCTTCCATTGCAGACACTGCAAGGCTCCAGGCGGACATCAACCAAATCTTTCAGTGGGCTGCAGAAAACAATATGAAGTTCAACGATGAGAAATTTCAATTACTCAGATATGGTAAACACGAGGAAATTAAATCTTCATCAGAGTACAAAACAAATTCTGGCCACAAAATAGAGCGAAACACCAACGTCAAAGACCTGGGAGTGATCATGTCGGAGGATCTCACCTTCAAGGACCATAACATTGTATCAATCGCATCTGCTAGAAAAATGACAGGATGGATAATGAGAACCTTCAAAACTAGGGAGGCCAAGCCCATGATGACACTCTTCAGGTCACTTGTTCTATCTAGGCTGGAATATTGCTGCACACTAACAGCACCTTTCAAGGCAGGTGAAATTGCTGACCTAGAAAATGTACAGAGAACCTTCACGGCGCGCATAACGGAGATAAAACACCTCAATTACTGGGAGCGCTTGAGGTTCCTAAAACTGTATTCCCTGGAATGCAGGCGGGAGAGATACATGATTATATACACCTGGAAAATCCTAGAGGGACTAGTACCGAACTTGCACACAAAAATCACTCACTATGAAAGCAAAAGACTTGGCAGACGATGTAACATCCCCCCAATGAAAAGCAGGGGTGTCACTAGCACGTTAAGAGACCATACAATAAGTGTCAGGGGCCCGAGACTGTTCAACTGCCTCCCAGCATACATAAGGGGGATTACCAACAGACCCCTGGCAGTCTTCAAGCTGGCACTGGACAAGCACCTAAAGTCGGTTCCTGACCAGCCGGGCTGTGGCTCGTACGTTGGTTTGCGTGCAGCCAGCAGCAACAGCCTGGTTGATCAGGCTCTGATCCACCAGGAGGCCTGGTCACAGACCGGGCCGCGGGGGCGTTGACCCCCGGAACTCTCTCCAGGTAAACTATGAGATCAAACATAAACCAAGTTATTTCCAACTCACAGGAACACAGTGTTTAGAAAAATTTGAATCAATGTAATACAGGTTCTTTCCTAACAAGGTTAGTGTATGCAGAAGAGAGCTGAAAATGAAACTTTGACCAGGGCTGGTTACAAAGTAGCTTATGCATTAACTAAAAGAAGAAAGCCATTCACCGATGGAGATTTGATCAAAGAGTGTATGATGGAAGCAATGGGAGAATTATGTCAAGAAAAATAAAATATGTTTAAAATCCTCAGTCTTGCACCAAATAATATTGCTCATAGAATTGTGGATACAGAAGCAATATATTTCATCAAATTGCAGACAAAGCAAGAAATTTTCAGTTTTAGTCTCTTGAACTTGATGAATTGAATTATGTGAGTAACATATCACAACTCCTAGTACAGTGGACCCCCGCATAACGATTACCTCCGAATGTGACCAATTATGTAAGTGTATTTATGTAAGTGCATTTGTACATGTATGTTTGGGGGTCTGAAATGGACTAATCTACTTCACAATATTTCTTATGGGAACAAATTCGGTCAGTACTGGCACCTGAACATACTTCTGGAGTGAAAAAAATATCGTTAACCGGGGGTCCACTGTATTCATTCATGGCATCGACAATGAATTTAATGTCACACAACAATTAGCATCAATGCATAGAATGCACAGCATAGGAACCGGAGGAAACATCTTCAAAGAATTGCAAAAATTTGTATTAGAATATAACCTGGGGTGGAATAAGCTGCAATGCGTGACAGTTGATGGAGGAAAGAACATGTCTGGGGGTGAAGAAAAGTTTGGCTGGACAAATCACAAAAGCTCGTGAGGATGATAGATTCTCGAAGCCCATGTTTCTGCATTGCATTATCCAACAGCAAGCATTGTGCAGAAATATGTAACTATGTCTTGCATTCTGAAACCTGTTGTTTCAACAGTGAATTTCATTTGATTTCACTGGCTTAAACATCACTAGTTTTGGGATTTTCTGAAAGAAACTGATTCTGAATTTGTTGACTTGCCTTATAATACAGAAGTTCTATCACAGTTCCTGCAGCTCAGAAAAGAAATTGATTCATTTCTCATAGAGTAGAATTGACCTGAACCACTTTTATCAAACACCGACTGGATCTGAAAATTAGCATTTTTTTGCAGACGAGACAAGGCATGTGAATAGTTGAATATGAAGTTGCAAGGTCAAACAAATTTGATTTGTGATTTATTCATGCATGTCAAGGCATTCAGGGCAAAATTTATTCATTTCCTATATTATGAAATATTTCAAGAAGTAAAGCAGAATTTCCTTCTTCATTTGCAAGAGAAATCATTAATGACTTGCAAAAACAATTTCAGAAATGATTTTTTGATCAGTTTCAAAAGGAAATTATTAATCACCAATCAGATGTCATGCTGAAAGAAAAATATAAAGAAGGAAATCTGATCAAATTTTATAAATCTTTACAGCCTGAGCAATTTCCAAACTGAAGCGAATTGCTTGTGGATTTGCATCAGCTTAAGGTAAAACATACTTTTGTGAACAAACATTTTCAAAAATGAAGTATGTAAAGTCCAACTATCACACAAAATTATCTGATGGGCATTTGAAATCCATTCTAATAACTGGCTCCTCAAGCTTGAAACCTCAGTTCAGCAATATTTTGAAATTAAAAAAAGTTCCATCATTCCCATTAATTTTGTGAAAATTAATCTTGTGCCTGCTTTTCTCATTTGCAGTTCAGTAACTGATTTAGCCGTCAGAGCATTGGCTTATGTTTGATATTTTTACTCATTATATATCATTTCTCAGCATAAGCATGGTATTGTTTCTTCGTAATTGTCACATTTCTCTTTTGTACTGAATCATATCATGCTGATTACAAAAAGGTTCCAAATAAAACTTATTCATTCACTTAAATTTTATAAATTCATTTATATTTATATACAAGTCTGATGTTTTCTTAAGCCCGCAAAAATGTGTAAAACTTACGATGTGGCCCTTGTAATGAAAAGTTTGGAGACCCCTGCTCTAAATTAACAGTTTAAATGTAGTACTACAATGCAATACCTTCATTTTTGTCACAATAGCAGCATCCAAGGATTTTCCATTATTCTTGCTATCTTCATTGGATAACCATCGTAGGCAGAGTCCTAGAGGAGTAATCACAAGTTCCAAATCACATCTTGCAAACTGACACTTTGAGATGATCTTGTCAGATAACGACAAAACGCTGACCATGTTGAGCTGTAGATCAAAAAACTTTTAATTGCACATAATACTGAGTACTGTGACAATAATGTTGAATGTTGCAAAGTAATAATTTAGGAGTGAGAGATTAAGAGAGATATTGACAGAGAGAGAAACTGAGAAAGAGAGATTAATAAAGACTGACAGAGAGAGGGAGAGATTTTTCAAAAACTGTACAAAGTATCAGGGAACATAAGTTGAACCATTACAAAAGAAACAAATATCCAAGTGAAATTTTAGCTTGAAATATGGCACTCCATTTAAGGTTGGGTAAAATTTATTAATTTACAGAAAATCTCAGGTGACTGCTGTAATAAAATGGCCACTGCCATAATTAACTAGAGGTATTAGTTTCAATTATTAATACAATATAACCAGTGAAAACACTAAACCAAACTATAAGGGTCATTTAATACTACACTGCAGAGGTGAAAAAGATACCTGAGGGATAAAAGTGGCAGAGTTGAGGAAAGGACAATTGCAGAAGGGAGGTGGAGATTGGGCATCACAACTGATATTAAAAGATTGGTAGTGTTAAAATAAAAAAATTAAAACTGGGTTCAGAGTACGAATCCAGTGTATTAGTACCTTTGGCGTACATCTCTAGGACCTTAGTTTGACCCTGACATGATTAGAAATGTTAGACATGTTTCCTTATACTTGCAAGTTTTCCTTACTTAGCAGTGGGTGCCTGGGTGTAAGTCAACTGTCTTGAGTTGCATCCTGGAGATGAGGATCAAATGACCCCAACAGAAATAATCCAGAATGGCTTTCTTAGGTTATCCTGGGTTACTAACCCTCAAGGTTAATCCAAACAAATAAAAATTCCTCTAGCTCAGGATACCCTACAAGAACCCAAGAAGTAGACGATTTCCTTAGGGCTCTACCTACCTGTCTACCTGGAGGGTGGTCCTTGAACAGGCCTCATGGTGGATCAGGGCCTGATTAATCTGGCTGTTACTGCCTGCCACACACAACCCAACATAAATAACAAAAAAAGGCACAATACCATGACTGGAACGATACACAAATAACCCGCACATAGAAGAGAGAAGCTTACGACGACGTTTTGGTCCGACTTGGACCATTTACAAAGTCACAGTGTGACTTTGTAAATGGTCCAAGTCGGACCGAAACGTCGTCGTAAGCTTCTCTCTTCTATGTGTGGGTTATTTGTGTAACCCAACATACAAACCACAGCCCGGCTGATCGAGTACTGACTTTAGATATCTATCCAGTTCCATCTTAAATACAGCCAGGGGTCTATTGGTAATCCTCCTATGTATGATGGGAGGATACCACATACAATTTAGCTAACCCCCAGGTACCTACTTACTGCTAGGTGAACAGAAGCAACATGTGTAAGGAAACATGCCCAACATACCCACCTGCCCCAGGACTGAAACTTTGTAAATATCTTGTAACTAACCACTTTGTTAGCCTTACCTGTTAACATATGATTATATTTAACTACACAAGAAGTCCTACATAATGCTATGTCTGTTTTTTTATTATTTAGCATTTTATTAGTCAGAGCTTGGCTATAACACATTAAAAGAGAAATTTGAATCATTCTCTGCTCATCAAAAATGATACTAATTTTAATTAAAACAATTTGCCTGAAATGCTCTGCATAACTATGGGCTTTCTGCATGAACAACTAAAATGTCACCCATCTCTGTATAAAAACTGTATCACGTTGAAATATTATTAAGTAGTTGGTAAGACTCGCAATTAGTTGCCCAAAATGCATTGCATAATTATCTGTGTTCAGAGAATAGAACATTTTCATTATTCAATCCTTCACTTAATAATAGTAATAATAATCTTTATTTATACATGTACAAGGTATACAGACCATAGTTAACATCAGTAACAAATACTATATAGAAAGCTGCTTGTTATACTGAGCATTTCCCACAAATTAGGTTAGTTTTGTCCCAGGATGCGACCCACACCAGTCCATTAACACCCAGGTACCTGTTTTACTGATGGTGAACATAGACAGCAGGTGTCTTAAGGAAAAACATCATATTTCCACCCAGACCTCAGTGTGTGAGGCGAGTGTGCCAGCGACCCTGGCCTAGTAGGCGAAGCCCTCCCTTCACACGCTGAGTCTCCAGGTTCGATCCCCTGAAAGGGTGGAAACATTGGTCACAGACCGGGCCGCGGGGGCGTTGACCCCCGGAACTCTCTCCAGGTAAACTCCAGGTAAACACCTGCTGTCCCTGTTCACCCATCAGTAAAATAGGTATACCTGGGTGTTAGTGGACTGGTGTGGGTCGCATCCTGGGACAAAACTGACCTAATTTGTGGGAAATGCTCAGCATAACAAGCAGCTTTCTATATAGTAGTATGTTATTGATGTCAGCAATGGTCTGTATACCCTGTACATGTATAAATAAAAATATTAAATATTATTATTATTAAATTAAATTAAAGCTCCGGGACACCAGGATAGTTACTCTGATAATGTTATATAAACTTATGTTTGAAAAACCAAAGTTATACTAAACAGTAGCAGGATCACCAAAGATTATCCTACTACGCTTTGTTCCTACCCTGGTAGCCGTAAATCAATTAAAATTAGAACAAATTCTTGTTAGCACTACTTATTATCGTTAAAAAATATTGGCCATTCAGATACGTGATATTATGTTGTTATTGTTGGGTTTATAAGGCCACTGACAGCTCTTACGCAGCACCCAGCCTGACTTCCTGATGTAATATAATAATATATTTACTACAAATACATGTACATGGTATACAGACCATAGCTGACGTCAATAACATACTACTATATAGAAAGCCGCTTGTTATGCTGAGCATTTCCCGCAAATTAGGTCAGTTTTGTCCCAGGATGCGACCCACACCAGTCCACTAACACCCAGGTACCTATTTTACTGATGGGTGATTATTATTATTATTATAATCAAAAAGAAGCGCTAAGCCACAAGGGCTATACAGCTACTGATGGGTGAACATGGACAGCAGGTGTCTTATGGAAACACGTCCCTAATGTTATCTAGCCGTACAGGAGGAGATTCGATCTCCGGACCTCAGAGTGTGAGCCGAGTGCCCAAAGTTGGTCCATGGAAGAAGAGGAACAAGAACGAGTCTACGATGGTGCTGGCAGGAGACTGTGGGACGGCAGGAACACTGGAGAGGTAGGTGTATTGATGTGTCATGGGAGACATGGGAGGCAGTGGCTGAGGCAGAATAATCATATTACTATTATTATAATCAAAAAGAAGCGCTAAGCCACAAGGGCTATACAGCAGAATAATCAGAGTTGTCGACGGTGGAAGTGGTTGTAGAAGATTTAGGAATAGTTTGGGGCAGGAGACAGTTCAGCAGGTGCAGTGAGGTTCACAACGTTGGCAAGAATCTTGATTATTATTATTATTATTATTATTATTATTATTATTATTATTATTATTATTATTATTATTATTATTATTATTATTATTATTATTATTATTATAAAAAAGAAGCGCTAAACCACAAGGACTATATAGCGCGCAAGAATCTTGAGGATGTCGGCGGAGGGTATGGAGTCACGGAAATTGAAGGCAGGCATGTTGTTTAGCCGAAAGAGCTCATTTATAGTTGAGTTGAAAGTACCAGGGTTTGCTGCATTTGCAAGGTGCGCATGCACCATGCAGTACAGCACCTTGGAGGAAGTACCGTCAGGAAGTGGAGAGAGTGAGTTGCTGGATGGGGGAGCCTGTCGTGTGGCCTGAAGAATCTTGGTGGTGTCAGTCTGTAGTTTCGTTATTGAAGTATATATATATGTATTCATTACCTTTGTAACTTGTGAGTTCATTACCTTGTACCTAGTTCAGCCATCAAAACTTTGGGGCCCAGTCCCTGGACCCATTATGTACCTCTGTAATCTTTTGACTACCGCCCACAGGATGGGTATGGGGTGAACAATAAAATGGTATAAAATACCGACAGGTTGTTAGGTAAGACACATATGCAACAGTTAGGTATCTTTATTTCGAAACGTTTCGCCTACACAGTAGGCTTCTTCAGTCGAGTACAGAGAAGTTGATAGAAGCAGAAGAGACTTGAAGACGATTTAAGATTGAGACACTTATGCAGCATATGGGAATCTTTATTCAGGAAACGTTTCGCCACACAGTGGCTTCATCAGTCCAAAACAAAGAGGAAGGCGTAAGGAGAGGAGGAGTATGAGGTAATCAGTCCCTCAGCCTGGAGTCGATGTGTTCAGTCCAATTCTACAAGATTGATGGACTGAACACATCGACTCCAGGCTGAGGGACTGATTACCTCATACTCCTCCTCTCCTTACGCCTTCCTCTTTGTTTTGGACTGATGAAGCCACTGTGTGGCGAAACGTTTCCTGAATAAAGATTCCCATATGCTGCATAAGTGTCTCAATCTTAAACTTGTCGGTTTTTCAAACCATTCATCACACACACTTGAAGACAATGTAATCAGTCCATCACCCTTAAAGTTTTGAGGTGGTCAGTCCCTCAGTCTGGAGAAGAGTATTGTTCCATTGTCTGAAACAATATGGAGTTGAAGTGATATGATGGAGCCTTATATAGCGCCAGGAGGTGAGACGTAGGTCACTGGTAGAAGAACGTAGACGTTGAGAGGTCAGGTCCCTCTCAAATCCAGCTATTCTCACAACCTCTACTTGTGAGAATGGCTGGATTTGAGAGGGACCTGACCTCTCAAGTCCTTAAAAAAGGGCCTCATGGTGGATCAGGGCCTGATTAATCTGGCTGTTACTCCCCTCCCACACAAAAACCCAAAAAAAATTAACAAAAAAAGGCACAATCCCAGGGAATGGAACGAAAAATAAACCCGCACATGGGAAGGGGAAAAGGCTTACGACGACGTTTCGGCCCGATTTGGGAAACCATTTACGAAGTAAAAGGGTTGTGCCCTTCGAAAAATGGCCCAAGTCGGACCAAAACGTTTCTTTAAGCTTTCTCTTTATGTGCGGGTTATTTGTGCAACCCAAAACAAAAAAAAACCACGGGCCCGGTTGATTGAGACTGATTTTTTAGTTTCCCTTTTCCATTTCCCATCTTAAATACAGCCCGGGGGGGTCTATTGGAAATCCTCCTTTGTATGTTTGGGAGGATCCCACATTTTTTTTAGCAAACCCCGGGTTACCTTTTTAAACTGTGGTGAACAGAAGCAAAAATGTTTTAAGGAAACTTTGCCCACTTTCCCCAACTCCCCCGGGAAACTAAAAACTTTGTTAAAATCTTGTAACAAAACCCCCTTTTGTTACCCTTTAAACCTGTTAACATATGATTATATTTAACTACACAAGAAGTCCTAAAAATTTGTTTATGTCTGTTTTTTATTATTTAGCATTTTATTGGGTCAGAGTTTGGCAAAAACACAAAAAAAGGAAATTTAAATCATTCTTGCTCATCAAAAATGAAAATTAATTTTTATTAAAAAAAATTTTTGCCTGAAATGTTGCAAAATTGGGTTTTCTGCTTTGAACAACAAAAAATCCCAAACCCATTCTGTATAAAAACTGTTTTCGTTGAAATATTATTAAGTAGTTGGAAAGGGGACTCGCAATTAGTTCCCCAAAAATGCATTGTTTAATTTTCTGTGTTCAGAGAATAGAACATTTTTTTTTTTTCAATCTTCACTTAATAATAGAAATTAATAAATTCTTTATTTATACTTGTACAAGGTATACAGCCCCATAGTTAAAATCAGTAAAAATTTTACTATATAAAAAGCTGCTTGTTTACTGAGCTTTCCCACAAATTAGGTTAGTTTTGTCCAGGATCCCGACCACACCAGTCCATTAACCCCGGGTACCTTTTTTTACTGATGGGGGAAACTTTGGAAGCGGGTTGGTTTAAAGGAAAAAATCATTTTTCCACCAGACCTCAGTGTTTTGGGCGAGTGTGCCAGCGCCCCGGGCCCTTAGTAGGCGAAGCCCCCCCTTCACACGCTGAGTTCCAGGTTCGACCCCCTAAAAGGGGTTTGGAAAAAATTGGCACGCCGGGCCGCGGGGGGCGTTGCCCCCCGGGAAACTTTTCCCCAAAGGTAAACCCCTTGCT